AGAATAAGGAGTTGACTGTTGATCAGATAAAATTCAACAAAATTTAGCATTTGATTTGAACCTCAAGGTCCCAGGGTGGAGATGAACAGAATCCAAGACGTTTCAGGTCCAGTTTAAAGTTTTCACATTTAGTGACGAGTTCATCCGTTCTTTTGCTGACAAGACGGATGCAGATGGTGGTTTTGATTCCCAGCAGGACTTGTCACCTTTTCAGTCTTGCAAAAGTGAAATAATACCTGCTGTAATGTCAATGTAGGTGACTGTCTGACCTAAACCTGACAGAGAAACTCCAGTAATTTATACAAACTGAATTGTACAGTCTAAGTTGATATTCCTATAATTTAAATATGATCTATATTTGTATTCATGTATATATATAATTTGCTCTTATTTAATATTAGGCCTGATACAATAACACATTTTGCTGGACGATAAATTGTGATAGAAGTTATTGTGATACACAATAGTATTGTTGCTTGGAAACCATTTTTCAGGTAACATAATGGTAATGCATAATAAAGCCACTACACTCTCACCAAAGATCAATAAACTTTCATTTCTAACAAGCATTTAACCAGAACTGGAATACATTTTAAATATTCAAAATAAATAAGCAAGACAACAGAAATAGCAAATAAAATTAATTATCAAATCTCTGTAAACAAAATTGTCCTTCAAAAAAGGGTTAGTTGAGACCAAAGCACCAGACAGAAAACTTTTATCATCCAGTTTTTGGTAGAAAGAGAGAAAAGAGAAAAACTATAAATCATGCGAATGATTGAGGAAGTTATTGAGCTTCTTTTCATTTATCACATGATTAGTTGATTTATTGCTTACTGTGACAGGCCTAACAGCAACATGCAATTTCAATATTTGTATTTTTGAATTTGAAATCAAAAGAAAAAAACAGATCTCAACTGCCATGTTTAATAACTGGAATAAATTGGAACATATGTAAATGACTGAATCTATCTGTTCAGATTAAATTGATGTTTGTTTAAACACATGATGTTTTTGTGAAAATACAAAGACATAAACTGAACTGACCTGACACTCAATTTTAATACTATTTATTGAGATGCTCTGTACATGAGATCATGTTGTTTCCATTCGCAATTCAAGTCCCGTCTCAAACAAACTCCATTTGTTACCCGCCCCCTCACGTTTCCCAGTGCTATTTTTAATCATTCATTATATTATTAAGTGAAAACTTCTTTGTGCCTGGAGGAAGCTTGAGATGACGTCCGTGTGGACCATTAGGGCAGTGAGATCAAGTAAAGCCTTTTGCTTATTCAAGGGGAACTGTGCATAACACATACATACTGTAAAGTGCCTGCAGTGCAGTTTTAACCATTTGATTATGACACAGATGCAGGGATTTGGAGGACAGAGATGATGGCAAGTGAAAAGGGAGGAACCCAGTTTTTTGGAGAATGAAAAACTACAAAAAGAAACACGTCCTTCTGCTTCCAAGGTGACCTTGGAGGAAGAGCTTGGTCCACCACTGCTGGTCTACAGTAAAGAGACAAAGGTTGGACTCAGTAGCTTCCAGTTGTGAATGTGTCAGGCCTCATGACTGTTAAAATACAACAGCAATGATGAAATGTAAAAAAAAAAAAAAGAGAGAGAAGAGGAACGGTTAAAAAAAATAGAATCAAATACTTTGTTTAATCTGACAAAATAAACCAAAGCGGGGAATCACTATTTCAGTTTTTGTTTTGTTTTTTGTCATTGATAGGGTTTAAAAAGAAAGTCCAGAGTTGAGTCAGTGGACTGAAAGGCAAACAGCTCAATCAGAAAGCCTCAGCAGTCTGCATGAGGCGGCGCAGTGATTCACTGTAACAGGATGTAATGATGATTATTATGGCAGACACATGAATACCATTTGATGCAGCCTTGTGAACACGGCCTCACACAGCCTTATCAGGCCACTCTCTCTTGGTTCAGCGCTGGAGTTTATCATACTACACTAACTCGCATACACGCACTCCAGATGAGTGCACCATTAAAAAATAACTATTTCACAAAGTGCACAGTAAAGACATGGGGGGAGGGGGAGCCGTACGTTCCAGGGGTTAGACGGGGCCACGCTGTCCGTACAAATTATGGATGAAGTTCATACTAAGGCGCTTCTAAAATTGGAAAGTGGTTTTTAGGTTGGTACTGTTGACTAAATTTGGATCAGAAATGGTACTATTTAAGGAAAGGGTGAGATCTGTCAAGACTCGTTGGAAATGTAAACCTGTTGAAGTATTAAAGGTTTTATTACTTCAACATTTGTGGAAAATGAAAGAACATGGTCTGGGGTTTTATGTTTGGTGAAGAAATTGCCTGGTCTTTATTAAATAACAGACGGTGGGATTAGCTTTATATTTTGTAAATTTGAGTTAAAACTAAAATAATTTTACCACGTGGTAAAGATGAAACCAAAGTACAACAATAAAACTAAGTACACCTCATGATTCAAATGCTTTTGAATTTCCTTTCAGTAGTAATAACTTGAAGTAGATTCTGTATAATTTCATTTGTTTACTCCATTCTGGCTAGATTCAGAACTGCAGAACTGGACAGATCTCCTTTAGGTGTCTTAAGCATTTTAAGCAGACTGCGGACTTTGACTACACCTGTAATTCTCTTCTCTTTCAGCCATTTTGTTGTAGATATGCTGCTTTTGTGATCTTTGATCTGTTGATGACTCTGTTCACAACAAGCTTTGTCTGTTAACCAGACACCTCTGACATTTTACGGGGGAATACGGTGGTCTACAGAAAAGTTATCTGTCCCTGGCAACTGAAATTACCTGAAAAATAACAAATTATGAATAGAGGAAGGCCTTGAAACATCTAAAATAATAATAATAAATATTGTTTTAGCGGATCATTTTCAAGAATATTTTAGCTTTAAATACCAAATTTAAAACTTTACTTAGACTTGAATATACTGGAAGAAAAAAAAATATGTAAAACTCCCATTTCTGTTATTTATTTTTAAATGTAAAAATAAATTTAGCTATGTAAAAATGTACAGCATTTTTAATTGGTTTTAAATCTTCAATGTTTATCAATTCATATATTAAGATTAAAGCAACATATTTCTTTATTTTTATGCATTAAAACCATGTTGTCCACTATGTAGATTATTTCTTCTTCTGAAGGTTGTGTGCGGCTGCAGACTGGACACAACCCTACGGTTTGTTTTTCTGGAGGGCTTTAGGAGAGCAACAGTTTGGGAACAGTTGTGTTTTGACAGTGCAGTTACCGTGGCGAAGGTGTAGGATAATCCCAAAGAGGCGGATTATTTTCCCTTTTTTTCTGTTTCCGTGTGTCTGTCAAGTTTGTGAGGTAATTAGCAGAGTCCACTGCATCTCTCTAATGAGCAAGAGCTCGGCTTCCTCAGCGCAGTATGCATTTTTTTTAATAACCCATTAACATGCTCCCTGTGATTATTATCTGAATGAGTGTGTTTTGTCACACTCTCAGACATAACCACACAGCATTTGGGTTTGCTCCAGCGTTCTTTGGGAGTTGTCCAAAAGCAATAGAGAATTAGGCGGTTCATGTTCCTGTCCATGCTGTTCTGAGCAGCGAGAGCCTCATTTTCTCTAATATTTGCAGGACACATCCACGTGGCATGCAGCATGATGGAGAAATAATGCACCATTTTGTGAGAAATATTACACTGTAGTAACTTATTTTCAGATCTATGTGTGATTAAAAGAGCTGCTGTTCTGACAGTTTTACTTTGGAATAAGTCAGTAAAACCCTAGATGAGATTAGATTTTTGCTTTTCTGTGGTTGTTTTTCAGATTGTTGGACATAGTCAGATTGAGAGAAGGTTCAGCAATCTCACTGAATTATTCTAATGCGGTAGATAAGATCACAATGATTGTTGTAGTTCTTAAAAAGACGACATTTGGCCACTTGTGAAGAGTAACTTGTTGCTCTCCAATATGACCTTGTAGACAGAATCATTATCTCTGGTTGTAGCACTACTGAAGCTAATAGTAGTGTTTTATAATGCTAACGTCATTAAAGGTGTGACTTAAGACTCTCGTTCCGTTTAAAGATGGCCCCGAAATGCCTGGAGTCAGAGAATTATTCAGTTTGACCCTATCAGCTGTTGCATGAGGACCTGTTTAAATCCAACAACACAGAACACACACACACACACACACACACACAAACCCCCCCCACACACACATCCACCCCACTCCCACACACACACAGATTGTGACAAAATGACAGGCTGTTCAAATATTCAGCAGCAGCCACACTACTGCTATATCAGACTTCTTCATCTTCATGTGACTTTCACTACTTTTGGGAAATTTTTCACTGGAGATGCAAAAAAAAAACCCTAAATCCTTGGAATTTCTGGTGGAATGGGTTCTCCAACTCACTCTACTTGAGCTGAATTAATTTAGAAAAGTTTTTGATAATTGTGCTTCTTTCAGTGTTGGAAAGTACTTTGACTCAGTATAGCATGCATCTAAGAACAAATGCTTTTCTTGAGAGTTTTCTTTTCTTTTCTGGAGCCAGTAATTAATCTCATCTGACTCATGATAAAGAGATAATCCTGGTTTTCCTATGAACAGAAGCGCATTCACTTAGCAGAACATTCCAACATGTCTCCATGTAGCATTTTATCTTAAGCTAAGATATAGTCAACTAACTTGGGGCGGTCATTAATGCAATTAATTGCTTTTTTTTTTTTTTACATGCAAAAGTTCCAAGTCGGAATCTTTTGTCTCTGTGTTGCCCCTGCGACAGACTGGTGACCTGTCCAGGGTGACCCCACCTCTCACCTGGAACGTTAGCTGGAGATAGGTACCAACAACCCTTCCGATCCCACTAAGGGACAAGGGTGTATAGAAAATGGATGGATGGATGAAGATAGTTGGTAGTTCTATGTTCCAAATCAGCACTCTACATCCTGACTGGAGCACTGGTGCAGTGGCACTTTGGCTATGCTGCCATTCCTTAGTACAGAGGTAATTGTACTAAATTGTGGGGCGCGCCCCCAAGGGGGGGGGTGCCGTGCCATTACAGGGGGGGGCGCGGGAAGCCGTCTGGATGAAAAAGAAAAAAACATGAACGCTGTATGCGCTGGGTTTTTACCTTAGAATGGTCAACTCTGTTATTCCTCTGTTCCTAAGTTGCTCATCACAACCATGATGTGTCAACTCCATAACTGACAATTTACAAAACTTTGATGAAATTTTGTGAATAAAAGCTTAATTTTGGTATATTGTAAAGATTTCATGGACCTGATGAGCTACAATATGGCCTCCTTCAGAATAACATCATATAAATTGAGGTAGTTTGGGGTTTTTTTCAACTCCGTCAGAGTTTTTGTGACTCTTTCAGTGAAATTGTTGACAAATCTCACTTAAATGTGCAATTAATTCATTTTAATGTATTTTACATAAGTTGCATTAGTTCACATGTATCAAGTATTTTTTTTTACTCACTAGTTTGCCACCACCTTCAGTTCTGTGTCAACTCCATCACTCACTGTCAACTCCATCAGATGGACTTTTTGTTGTTTTTTGTTTTAAATAATATTTTTTTGTTTCTTGAGAAGCATTTGTCTGTAAAAATGAGTAAAAATATCACTAATAGGGTATTTTAAAAAGTTTGGGAACCACTGCCTTAGTACACCAGCTTTTTGCAGGTTTTCATTGAAATTCCTTTCAGTGACACACATTCTATTTTGTTAGACCAACTTCCACCTCAGTCATGGACTCTTCTCCATCTACAAGTTGGTCTTCAACCAAATCAGGAGACAGGAGATGCCACTGCTCCCTTTGCCTCCCCCCATGTCTATCTTTAGAAGTCAGGGGAAGAGGCAGCCGGACAGACTGGACCGGAACAAGGCTGCAGGTCCAGATGGTGTCAGCCAAAGAGTCTGCAACATCTCTTCAACCTTAACCTGACCCAAGAGAAGGTTCTGTTGATGTGGAAGATATCCAGCCTGGTTCTGGTACTAAAGAAACTCACCTTCTGTGAGAAACTCTAGAAGACACAAGTGGAGGCCTCAACAATCATGAGAGGGAGAAGTCTCTGAAGATAACGATGGCCACAAACAGACCGTAATTTATGTCTAACCAGGTGGTCAGCAACACAGGAGCACCACAGGCGTACTCTCACCATTCCTTATCACTCTGTACACTTTAGACTTCTAGCATAAGTCAGACTTCTGTCCTCTACAGAAATACTCAGATTACTCTGCAGAGATGATCAAGAAGAGTTGGTGGACCACTTTGTGGCATGGTGTGGAAACAATCTCATCTTGAACATGAACAAAACAAATGTGATACCACTCATTACTCTCACTTCGCCATTCTTCCATGAACTTGAACAGACAATGCGTACATTTAGCTATTTTGATCATGAAAATGTTTGAATCATGCAGAAAACACAGTTATAGAGCAGTCAATTGAAAAACTCAATTTTCTCCTTGTTAGTACCTATTTCAGTTGTCAAGATGATGGGTGAGGCACTGCTTGACTTGCCTCCCCTGACTGCATGTCACTTGGCAGTGACACTTGACTGTTGTCATTAAGGTCAAATGTTGCTCTCATAGGTACTGTCACTATCACCAAATCAGTCCTGTACAGTTCAAAAGCCGTAGTTTACTCCATCATCCTGGTCTGTCTTTTGTCTGCTGGATGGCTCATTAGCTCTGGACTCCCTAGCTGGTTGCTGATTTTGAAAATAATAGATCAACTATCTCCTCAGTCAGTGAGTGAGGAACAGTTCTATGTTTTAGAAAATTACTGACATTTATATTTAGAGAATAGTGAGAAGGTACAAATGCTTATAATCAACTCCCCTGGACCCTTGATTAGATGAATATCATTTTTGGAACGTAAAAGTTGACTTTGTGACTTTGCTCTGAAAAAGCTTGGCACTGCTGTGTGCCTCTTTGAGAACCTGCTCTGCTCCTCCTTTGTAAAGTAGATCTACAGCGCGGCAGCAGCAGATGGTGTCATTTAACGCTGTACTTGGAAAGAAATAAAGTGCAACTTGGTCAGACAATATGTCATTCATACCTACCAGTCGAACGCGACACTTTTACCTGAATCATCATCATCAGGCGGGTATGTCATGGCTTATGCGTGTATTTCACCAAGTGTGCAACGGCTAGTGTCTAAATCAATTTGAGTGTAAAACTAAGGACATATTTATAAAGTGGGCCAGTTCACCAGTTACTCCCTCCTGTGCAGTTAAGGGTCAAGTGAAGGATTAATGACTAATGAATTAACCTGTGGCCTCGTGCATATATGTGTGTGCTTACAAAATAAGCAACCTGGGACTTTTGACCAGAAGGGAGAAGTCTCTGGAGATAATGATACTGAGTGTCTAAACTGAGTCTTATTAAGGTTGTTTTAGTTACAAGAATTTACTCTGTAAAACTGTTGTGAAAAATGTCAAAATAATCAAAAGCATACAAGGGATCTCCAAGATCAAAGGCCATTCCTTATCCAGGTAATCCAAATTATTGTTGGATTACATGGATATGAAATAATTTAGGAATGTTTTATATAGTAAAAGAGCAGCTGTTTGAATAGTTCATACAACTAAATTGCTTTAAATTTTTAGTTCTATCCCTTTTCCAAGTAGAGGTTCTTCTTTTTGATGAACTGTTGTAAAACAAGTAAAAAAAATGAGTTGATTGAATATATTGGAAGTATTGTGTCACATCCTTCCCACCTGGAAAGATGTAATGTTGTCTGAGTTTTGATGTAGAAATTCAAAGTTTAAGTTAAACTTTCAAGTAAAACTTTTATATATAATGCTTTCTACGATTTTATACTCCTCACAAGAATTATTTCATATTTGAAATATTTTTATTTTACTCTTTTTTTAAACATTTGTAGAACACTTTTAAAAGAATGAAATTACAATTTTACAACATAAATGAAACAATGTAAAGTGTGTGAGTGTGTGGATCCTCCTCACTCACAGTTCAAAATAGATCAAGCTTTGGTTTAGAGCCAATTTTTAAATGTGACGGATGTGTGTCTAACTTCTGGAAAAATACTGAATCTCTTTTATTAATTTATTAGTTTACAAGTATTCTCATAAGTGAAATTTCAGATTTTTGCATGTATGTATGAGTTGAAAAACAGGACAATTAAAAAACTTACTTTATGCACATTCATTGACTTACGTATTTAGATATCTACAAATGCATTTTTAATTGGCAGTAATCTTACCCCATACATAACTCCTTATGTTTCCATAGCAACTAAAACAAACAAGAACCTGACAGGTTGTTTGGCATCATCATGTCAATGAGAACACCTATGTTTTCATTGATGATGTCATAAATGTTCAAATATATTATTATTGTCATTGGAAATATAAGAATTCTCAGTTTGCTTCTCAACTTGGTTGGAGGTAGATCGATTCCAGAGAGACGACTTCAAACTGACTTTACAAACCATTTTAACTGTTCACCAAGTCAAGAGGATTTTTGATATTTGTTGTCACAGTTTTCTTTTGGTTTGTCTTCACACCAGTGGAGCCATGGAGAAAGAAGGAGACGATCGCTGGTTCTGCAAGTCTGATCACGATGAGTTTCATTTTACCTGTACTGTAGTTTGTCTAGTATTGTTTTCTCCATAGAAAACCTTTATTTTTTTGACAATTTGTAACATTTAAAACATTTCTTTTTTTTTCTTTTTCTTGTGGATTGTAGATGCTTGCTGTAATTTCTGACATATATTTGTGATTAGTATACATTTGATTTGTAGCTTTACATGTTAAAATAAGTAAAATAAGTATTATATAAATATATAAACATAATAACAAATAAGTAACAAATTTATAAAACGATAATAAAATATTCTTTCAAAAAGCAAAAAAATGATGTGACGTCCCAACAGAACCTTAAAGCTGTTTGCTGATTCTTCACAGTGACCAAGTAATACATTTCCACCTGTCAGTAAACGTCCTTAAACAGTCTGATAAAAACAGGCACAACCTTTGTTCTCTCTGCTCTGCTCATTATGGTGCTCTTTTTTGTCACTTGAATATTCGGCGTCACTTCTGAATGTGATTTTTATCAATGTGCTCATGCGCTCAGCACATACAAACTGGCTGCCCAATCACCAGCCTGCCAGCTGCACATGGACTGCAGGGGACGCGACACGCCCACGTGGACTGGTGCAGATGATGAAAATTGTGTGACACTGGCCTTGCAGTTGAGCAGACAGATGAACAGGAATCAGCTTTTAAAGCCCCAGCTGTGTCACTGGCATTTGTTTCTTTGTGTCTCTTTATATATCTGACACCTAAAAAAAAAGACAAAAAAAAATCTTATGGTTTTTGATATATTGGGACTTGGACTTTTCCTGAATGATTCCTTTCAGTACTGGAGGAAAAAACAAAAAGAAAATCCTGATCAGGTCATTTCTACTAAATCTTCTATGTTTTAAAAGAATGAGATACTTTTTAGTTTCACTAACCAGCTTTTCTAAAATGAAATGGCCACCCCAGTGTTTAAAATTATGCTTATTATGTGTGTGTGTGTGCATGTGTGTGTGTTTCCTTTCAGAGTTCAAAACTTCACCAGAACTGCAATTATTTAGACGCTGTTCAAAAGAGTTTAATCCTTTAGCCAGTGGAGTCATATATTGAGAAAACAACCACAGTCAAAACAAGAAGAAAGAAACGATGTTGGATTAGTGGGAAACTGACACAAAATAAGGTTTTAAAGAAGGAAACTCAGCCAGTAAATATGAAGTAAAAAAAAATACTGTCCATGTCATAAACTCAGATTATTTGGAAAAAAAAGTGTGATAAGCTTTTATGAAAAGAAATGTCTTCCATATGTTCAAAGTCATCATTCATATAAAGTGCACAAAAAATGCATTAGAGAGGACAGAAATTATGATTTTAGAAAATATTTTTATGCTTTTAAGAGTTTATTATATGATTCTACAGGTCATTTGGGGTCAACTGTACAGTAGAAATAAATACTGCAGAATCTTAATAAACATAAAGTTCAGTAGCTGTTGAAACACCATTCTGACTTCAGTTTCCCACTGGAACAGCAAAAACCTCCAACAACATTCAGATGATTGTTAGGCTAGGA